CAGCCTGCTACTATGCAGATCCAGCCTGAACATAGCATTTTACATATAAATTAGAGATATTATTACTTACATATGTACATACAATTAAAAACAATAGAATATACTATTTAAATAAGTGGAAGCACTATAATAGAGACATTATTACACTGTGCACTTACATTGTAATATTCCATGAGAAAAACATTTAAATAATTAAATAAATAAGGAAAAATAACATTTTTAACCAGAATCTCCTAATAACTTCTGAACCTTAAGTATAACTCAGAATATTATTGCAGATTCTGAATCTACATGCAAAATAACCTGGGGTAGCTCACCAAGTGTACCCCTGAATTATTACTCCTTCACTTACTTTGTAGTCCTTGAGTGATATTGGACCAAAATACACTGTAGACCCCTCCAGTTACATCATACTACATGTTGTAAGGGGGCTAAATGTGTAATTATGGTTCTTGCAGTTCGGGAAAAATCTACAAACAAGGTTTACATCATTGAAACCTTAACTAAATGAGCACAGACTATAGTATTAAATTGTTTGGGATGATCTGTGGCCCTTTTTTGGCCCAATTGGGACAATTACTCTCTTGAGGATCAACCCATGCATCATGCAGTGCTGACATAGGCTACAGGAGTGTTACAGTTTCGTCATAACACCCTGTAAACATGGTTACAAGCCTTACATCATCTCCTTGACACCTGTAACCAAGCTCTACAGGTGCTACAGATGATCAAAAGTCCCATAGGCTTAGTAGGAGAGTTGTAGCAACTAGAGAGACTCCTGAGTTTGCCTCCAGAGGCCCAGAATGGGTATTTAAGAGCCCCTTCTTCCCCCTGAACTTTGATTCCCCATCTTCATCATCACTTACCAGCATAAACCGTCACCAACAACCAGTTTCAACCTGCCTTTTGGCCCTGTTCCTGCTGTTATCAACCTGAATTTCCATCAACCAACCAAAACCTGTTTGCCAGCACTCTTCCAACACCTCTCACTCACCTTTCTGAGCGCTTCAAGAACAGTCCCCCTCTCCTGAAGACCTCCTTGGCTTAGAGATAAGTACCAGTAAGTATTATCTCTTTATTTCTTCAGTAGTAGACTTTTTCTAGGTTTACTCCTTTATTACAAAGGACCAGAACTTCAGTACCACCCCTGCAACTCAGGACCTGAAATAGAGGGCACAGTAAAAAACCCCTGCAACTCAGGCCCCTCTGTAAATAAAAACTTAACAGTTTTTATTTACTATTTTCTTTTATTTTACACACACTTCCCCCACTTTTCACGTGTACACATCCTATTTTGCCTTTGCAGCTAGTGTAGCTAGAAGAGTTCTGCTCTTGTCATCACTAAGCCTGACACAAGCAGAGCTTGTGGTGAAGGGTTTGAATTGGGCCACGGGCCAATTGGTTTGCCATAAGTTGTGAGACAGCCGGCCACATTTTGGGATTGGTTAACATTTCTGGATGTGATAAGAAAATAGACAGGATTGGACCAAATGTTGGAAAACCCAACAAGCCATGAGAAGGATCAGACTGGGGCTGAATGGCGCCTTTGAGGATGGGTTGGCCCAAAGAAATGATGATATTGCAGACTGAGTTGATGAAGGTACTGGCCTGTTTGGTCAGGTAAAATTTGAAGAGCCATCCATGATGAAAGAGGTGCGTTAGCATCAGGTTTTGCTTTTGTTTTGATGTTGTGTTATGAGGTCACTAGGATGGATGAAATTGGTACAGTAGGTAGATAGTGAAAAGTGGCTGCTTATTTTGAATTCCAGAGCTCTGAAACACAGACTTGAATTCATGAGACTTAGTCAGGTGGTGCATAATAGGTTCCAAAAAATGAATATGAAAAAATAGAAACAAAAAACAAAGTTTCAAAATTTGTGAAAAATAAAAAATAAAAAATATTTTTTTCAAAAGTTTTGATATTCATTTTGGGGGAGTGGGAACGCTGAGAGAAACTTGAAAGGAAGATTGGCATATTAGAAGAATGATTATAAATGAAAAAATTGGTTTCCAGATGGCTTTGAACAGCTGTTGAGTGGGGCATTCACCAGCCCGCATTGCAGTCAAGCACTAGAATTTACTGTTTTGGCTTCAATCTGGAGAACCAACCTGGCCAAACCTTTTTTGGTTCCAATTTTTTTCATTTATAATCATTCTTCCCCGAACTTAACAAAAGTCCGCGTCCCTGCTGCGGCGTGGGGCACTGTAGCCGCTCTTCGAGTGTGCATGCACTGAGGACTCTCCCGCAGGGAGAGGACTTATGCCCAAGGGGAGCATGATACGGTGAGGCTATGATCCATTTTTGGTGGTGAAGGTTCTCATTCCACCATGGCGACATGAATTTTAACCTAGTTTTTTTGTCCTTGTAATCAATGAAGCTTAGATATATTCTTGTTAATCCTGCCAACTCAGAATTTGTACCTCCTATCCCCATCATGCCCGCTTAAGCTTCCCAAATGTTGGGTATTGCAATTTTAATTCTGTCACTTAATGGCATAAACCTTTTTTTTCCTTTTGCTCTTTTTTCATAACCCTCCTCTTTTTTTCGACCTTTTGGACTCTCCAGTATACCACTCCCTTACAACGATCTTCTTTTTTTCACTTTTGGACCGTGATTGCTTTTTATCCATCCCAATCCCGCACATGACATCGAACTCTCACACAGAAACAATCATCCCTCCAAACAAAACAAATATATTATCAAAAAAGCATCGATGCTCTTCTACTCGGCAAACGAGACAGACTCTTGCTTTTCCAATTTGATGTCAAAAAATCGATGCCGAGGGTACCGGCGAGGTGTAATGTTGTTGGGGGGTTTGGTTTTCTGTTGTTCGTCTTCTTTGATACACTTTTTTTTCTCTGTCAATCTCTTGCTCTTGACCTCTCTGTGAATGAACAATCTTAAGGATATATTTCTAATGTAAGTATCATGATATGATAACAAGATACAATAAGAAATATATGAAACAAAAAAGACTCCTAACCTTAAGGCAAACAACAAGAGAGCGATGAAGAAGGAAAACAGCAGAGAGAGTAACACAATACAAAAGAAGACTGAGATACAATGAAGAGAGCTGTTGTTAATGTCTTGATAAGTTTTGAGGACAAAGAGAGAAATGTCAAGTCTGAGAACCTACAATGGTGTAATTGACCTAGTGCGGTTTGAAGGATTTGGCGGGAAGTCGAGAAGGAAGGGAAGTACAGGTCAAGGGTCGGCGAGTAGTCGATATGGAAGGGAATGTACTTGAGTGAGATAGAAATGAAGAGTCACGTTTGACAGGAATAAGAAGACACAAGATCGAGAAGAGTTTCTCGATAAGATATGATGATGAGTAGTGTCAGGTGGAGGAACAGGAGTGAAGCTACGATGTAGAAAAGATAAGGTTGTAGATGACAACCCAGAAAGTTCCCCAATGTAAGACTCAAAAAGTGGTTGAAAGACCCTTTTTGCTGAATGGAGAAGGGGATGATGGAGTGTAAGCTCTGCCCTTCTATACTATCAGATAACAAGACCCACCAAGCTCAGCTTGGCAAGTTTTAATCAAATGATAGGGTAAAGTTCAGGAATGAGTTTGTGTGATTAAGAGTTGTTGATTTGGTTTGGTTGGCGCTTTAAAGTGTTTGTGTAAGGGTGGTAAAATATTGCTTGAGTGTTACTTGACTGAGGATTAAACAACTGGGAGGAGAGCCTCCTTATATATACAACAGTGAGGGAATTTAGCTCCAGGGCAGCCAGTAATGAGTGATTTTGGCTGGCCTGGGCTATTACATGAGGTATTTTTAGCTACATACAAAATTTGAATGAGTGAATGTGATTGGTCAGACATGTACAAGAGTTGAAGTGGTGATCCAAGCAGCTGAATGAGTGATTCTGATTGGTCAGGTTCTGATGTGTTTACAAGTGAGTGTGGTGGTGTAATTAGCTGCAGCTGTCATGCATGGAAAATACACTAATTTAGGCTGCAGGTATGATGTAATATGTAGAAGTGAAATGTAAAGAGTGTAGATGTATGTAAATGAGTGTATATGTAAATGAATGTGTACTGTACTGAGGGTGTCTGTGTAGCTTGAGGTTTGTAATTGGGTTTGGTGATATGTAATGATGGGTGAAATCCTTGTGATATGTTGTCCAGTGTTGGGTAAGAGTTGATCCAGGTGTGTTCCAGTGATGCCTCCGTGATGACCAAGAGTGAATTTGTCCGTAGAGTCCAGTTCTTGAGCCGTATGGTGTGATTTCTGAGAGTGATTGGGTGATAATATGAAGAAAAATTATATATAAGGAAAAAGAAAGAAAAAACTTTTAATTTTCACATTTTTGACTACCACAGCCTCCCCCAACTTATTGTCTGTCCCCAGACAATTTGCCAGGAGAAAATGGGAAGAAAATAGAGAAAGAGTTAATTTTTAAAGATGAAATGAAATAAAAAGGGTAGTGGGTATTTGGGAGGAAAAAGATGGGGAAAAATGAGTGTGGCTGAAAAAACGAATGTGATATCCTCCCCCAACTTTGCAGTGAAGCCCAGCATGGGGTGGCCATTTTTGTGATTTTGAACCTTCAACTTAATTTTGTACAGATGATTCGACAGGGTTTCCCCTGTAAATGTTAGTCTCAGGTCCCTGTTTACCCCCCTTCTGTCAAAATTGCAGAGGTGGGGGGCTTTTTTTTCATTTTTCATTCTATTTTAGTTTTAGTTTTATTTTTATTTTTCTACATACAATTTCTTTTATTGCTGCTGCGCGCTGTGCACAGCTGCGCAGCCTTGGGACGTCAGGATGACCTTGTTGTTGGCGTGGAGTCTCTGGGGTGTTGAATTAGCTGGAAAGCCCCTTGGGAGGGGCCCAAAGGGCTTCCTGACCGTTCGGGGTTCGAGTTTGAGTCGGGTTGCGCGAGGTTGGAAAAAAAACTGCGGCCGCAGTCGAGAGAGCGAGTTCGCCGGTGCTCCGTTCCGCGTGCGCCGTTCCAGTCCTGAACTCGATACCCTGGGCCCTGGGGAGCAGGCATGTCCTGTAAACCCGTCGGTTTACAACTCCTCAAGTCCCCACCGCCACCGTCTTCGCCGTCCTTCTTGCCTTCGATTGAATTTTCCGCGCCTCAAGCACGAAGGTACGTTATTCTCTTTTTCTTTTCTCTGTGTTTAATTTACATTACACTGATCAAAAAAAAAATCCTTTCATGCTGGCCAGGTCAAAAACATGCGTGGGGCCTTGACGTTTCTTCGGATCGTACAAGGACGCCTGGACCTTGGCTTGTCACACAGGACTGGATCACGCGCGCTTGTTGGTCAGGTTGTGGACAGAGGTAAGGGTCCGCAACTCATCCCCAGATCCTGTCGTCTGATTGGCCAGAACCAAAGCTGGCTTCCTATGAGGGAGGTACACGTTGGGTCTTTGTGCGCTCTTCTGGTTGCCCGTGGGTCCGTTGGCCCTTCCTTGTCTGGAAGTCCAGGTAGTGTCGGTATCAGCGCTGGTAAGTTCTTGAGGTTGGGATTTGCTGTACTGTGGGCATTATAAAAGACCGACTTGATCGTCAGTTCTTTCCTTTCTTCATCCCTCAGCCATCATACCAGCCACCTTACCCATCCACCCATCCTTCTTGCTTTTGACCATGCCGCGCTTCAACAAACATACTCCCGGCCCTAGGGCCTCAAATCCGTACCCTCTCCGTTCCAGGGTGAACCACCCGATCCCTTCTAGTCCTTTAGAGAGAGTAAGCGGTTGTCTCTATTTGTATTTGATAATACCAGTCACCAATCTTTCTTTCTGACTGGCTGGTAACATCTTCTACAGGGTCGAGTCCTGGGCTCGCCTATTCACTTGGACTCTCGAGAGTCCTCACGACCTCCGATTCTGAACGCCTTGCCAATAGCGCCGCCATCGTCAGTCAGGGTAAGAGATTCTTTAGCTTTTAGATGCAATTTTTCGACGTATAGTTAACTGTTTCAGTCCCTGTTTTATTTCTATGTTTCCAGGGCCATCCAGCTGGTTCCCCCATCGAGATCGACTCTCAAGTGTCTGCCCGGCCCCGGTTGGCCAATCCGAGCACGATCGCGCGGCCGGTTTCTCCCAAGGCCACCCAAGCCTTTAGAGCACAACGGGTGCCTCCTGGTTTGGTGGGGCTCCTCCCTCACGATCAAGGTGGAGCCTCACCTCCATATCAGCATTGTCCCACTCCGCTCCTGGACCCGAATCCGCCGCTTCTGCCTTAGGATACTCCCAAGTGGCGTCGTCCGGCTTCGAACAGCCGAGGTTCCTCGGGCTCTCCGGTGGCTCGTCGTCCTTTCAAGGTGGCCAGCTCATCGTTGAATCACTTATCGTCGGTAGGTTATTTCTTCTTTTATTCACAGTCTATTCAACATTGTTGATACACTTGCTAATTTGTCTTTTTGCTTTTATGACCCTAGCTTCTGAGTTCCAACTGCGCTATCATTGACGAGCCCTGGACGCTACTGCCGGCTCCACGTCCTCGGAACTTGAGCACACCCAGTGATATTTGCTCCGCTGTCGACGTTGACCGCTCCACTTCGACTTCGGTTTCACAAGACGAATCTGAAGCCTCAGACGAGAACCATTCTGAGTCCTCCTCTAATCAGTACACCGCTTCCAGCAATCAGTCCTATCCTTTTGCGCGCCAGCCTCGAGTCGCCTCGCCTGATCCTCCGGGATTCTATGACGCCGATGAGTTTCATCTCCTGAGGGATCACCAGATCGATTCCCTCCTCAGTCGTCGAGCTGATCCAGCCAGATTTGATCAGTATGCCTTCTGTCCTTGTGAATTTACGGCTTTTTATCAGTTGGCCGCTAGTAGCTTCGTGGCTTATTGTAACGCGGAGCGCCCTTCCTGTCCTCGCGATCAGGCTCATCGAGTGAGCCACTTTAAGTTCCTTAATCGGAGTTACATGTCGCTTAGGCGTCACTTCCGTCACTTGGGTGAGTGTTTTTTGATTTTTATTTCTTTTCACAGCCTATATACTAATTGTTTTTGATCTTTTTATTGTTTTTTGTTTTTGATCCTAGATTAAGTTCTTCCTGGTTTGAGTACTGTCTGTAAAGGGGTAAAATTTTCCTAAAGCCAAAAAAATTGTTAGATAATTTTTATAACACCCAAAAAAATTTAAAATCTACAAAATCCAAAAACTATTCTCTTGTTAGTTCATTTTAGTTTACTTGTTTCTTGATTCTTTTTCTTTCCCAATACTATCCCAAACCCCTCCCCCAACTTTACAGGTTGTCCTCAACCTGAGATGAGTGGCCAAGCCTATAAATGAGTGAGAGCTTAAGGTGAGCTGAAAAAATGGAAGACAGAAAAAAGTTTGTCCAAAAAGAATTTTTCAGGAAAGAAAGGTTGGAAGAATTGTGAGTATTCAAAAGATAGTCTTAAGAAGGAGAAAATGTAAGAGGAAAGGGTAAGAGTAAGAATAAGGTTTTTTGAAGGATGATATGAGTAGTAGAATTCTTAAGTTAAGGTTTTTAGTTTATTGGTTATGAAGAGAAAGCAAGAAATGTGGTGGAATGGAGATTATGGGATAAATAAATAAGAGGTTCATGGCAGGAGGGTGCTAGTAAAGAGTGACATATAAAAGAATATGAGTCCTCCCCCAACTTAGAAAATTAATCATCCACCTGATTTTGAAAGAATTTTGAGCTTAAATTTTTGTAATTTGATATGTTTGTGAAAAGTTTAGTCTCATGCCCAGGAGGTACAATTATTCTGATGCCACTGAGGAGTGTTCTTCCGAGTCGTCTTCTGAAGCATCTTCCTGGCCCGGGTCCTCATCTTCTTGAATATCATGAAAGTCTCGTCCTTGTGGGTAAAACCGTTTGATGTGTGAGGCAGCATAAGCCCTTTTCAATTCCACTCCGTCCAGTTCTTCTAGAATATAAGAGCCTTTAGGAAGTTGTTTCTTGATGCAAAAAGGTCCATTCCAACGGTGAGCAAAAAGTTTCCCCCACTGGTCTTCCAGACTTTTATTGTAAGCCAGAACCAGTTCTCCGGGGTCCAGAGGATTCCTGAGTCTTGCTGCCATTTGCCGGTCCCAGTATCTGACTGACGATTCTCGAGTTTTCATTAGTTTTTCATGGGCCAGTGTTAAAATCTCGTCCCTCCATTCCAGTTGTTTTGTACGAGCCTCAAGCAGTTCTTCAATTGTGTTCACTTCTGTCCAGTCAATTCCAAGATAGGTGTCCATCTCAATATCCACTGGTAAAACCGCTTTCTTCCCAAAGACAATCTCATACGGTGAGTATCCAGTTGATCTTTTTGTCAAAATTCTGTCAGAAAAAAGTACTAATGGTAAATATTCTCTCCATTTTCCGCCGGATTCACCACACATCTTGATTAGTGTATCTTTGATTGGCCGATGACCTCGTTCAATCATTCCGTTTGCCTCGGGATAGTATGGTGTCGGTGGTCGCAGAGTGGCACCAATCTTTTCCACAGCTTCGATAAATTCACTTTTAAATTCTGGGCCATTGTCAGCAGTAACAGTCCTAATTGAACCATATCTGTAGACCCACTCTTCCAAAAGAAATTTACTGATATTAGCTGCAGATAATTTTACCAAGGGTGCTGCCTCTACCCATCCAGATAAGTTGTCACGTGCCACCAGCAGGTATTTATAACGTCCGGCCTTGATATGACAAACGTCCAACGCTACCCGTCCAAATAGGCTGCTTTCGCCGGTTGGATTTCGAATTTCTCTGGGCACTAGAGCATCCCTCTTCTGACAAGGTTCACAGCTCCGCACCCATAACTTGACCTTCTTTTTCAAGCTGGCCCACCAAAATTGACAAACCAAGCGTTGATACGTTTCCTCAAGTCCTCTGTGGCCAAGATCCTTGTGGAATTTCCTTAATAGTTGGCTTTGGTACGGTATGCTGGAGATGACTAGCTGTGCCATGGGCGTGTGTTGTCGCATGAGCCGTCCCTCTTGGATAAAGAAATTTTCTGATTTTCTTCTTAGCTTTTGAAAATCCCCGGGGTCCATTCCTTCTGGCTTCTTCAGGGTCCCAAGGTATTCCTTAAGATCCTTCCAAAACCCTGGTGATTCCCATTCCATTAGCTTTGTTGATTGAGATGTTATTGTATACTGAAAGCATGCTTTGATTACAGGTTCATCTTCCTCAAAGTCGGCTGCGTCCTCATAGAATTCCTCCTCATCGTCACTGATGGGTCGCCTAGACAGCGCATCTGGTAACGTGAAGGTTTTGCCTGGCTTATGTACCATATCAAATGAAAAAAAGCTGAATGAACGCCACCCATCTGGTCATTGGTGCATTTGGTAATGACGGAGAGTTGATCATCTGAATTAAGGATTGCGCATCTACTTGAAGCTCGAAGTGTTGGCCCCATAAAAGTGTTTGAAGCTTTTTCAGGATCCTGGAAACCCCACAGAGTTCGAGTTTTGGCTGAGAATATGATGACTCCACGGGTGAGAAAACTATAGATTCGTAGAGAACTGGCCGTGCCAATCCTGTTTCCAGTTCCTCCTGTGACAGTACTGCCCCAGCAGCAATAAAACTAGAATCCACGGCCAAAATAATTAATCCTGCGTCCTTGGAGTAATCTAGCTTTTTCAGGGTGATATCTTCCCCAACTATCACAACAAACAATACCGATTTTGCCCCAAGGAAAAATGGCAATTTGGATGGTGGAAAATAGATCAATTTTCTGGCACTTTTTTTACAAGATGCCTTAGGAGTAAAAAAATTAGGCTAAAATGAGCTATTTTAGCCGAAAATGAAAATGTCCCAAATGAGCTAAAAATTCATTTTGGAATGTTTGATGAATTTCTATCTCTGGGCTAAAATAGCTCAGTTTAGCCTAATTTCTACTCCTGAGGAATTTTGGAAACAATTTCCAGAAAATTGATCCATTTTCCCCCACCCAAATTGCCATTTAATTTTGGGGCAAAATCGGTATTGCTTGTAGTGTATTTGCTTTAGCTTGTGAAAGGCCTCGTCGCATTCTTGGGTCCATTCCCATTCAGAGTCCTTCCTTGTGAGTCTTCTGAGAGGTGCGGCAATTTCAGAGAGGTCTTTGATGAAAATTCTGACGTAAACTAGTATTCCCATGAATCCTCGTAATTCTGTAAGTGAATTCGGGGTTGGCCAGGTCGTAATCTTATTCTTTTTCTGAGCTGAAACCCGTCGTCCTTCTTTACAGACCACGTGACCTACAATGTCCAGAGCTGGGACACAGCAAGCAAACTTTTTCCCGGAGATAGTGAGTCCAGCTTCTTCAATCCTGAATAATACCCGTTCTAATGTCTGAGCATATTCCCAGATGAACTGCCGAATTCCTGGGTTTTCGTCCAAGCTTTCGTTATCGTAATCCGAACTAGGTCCTTTGATTCCTCCATCGTAAATGAATACGCCTACGTTATCGGGTATTTCATCCTGGAGTATCCACATCATTTGCGCCTGATATACTGCTACCAAATTAGTGGCCCCCTGAGGTAAACGTGTGAGTTGAAATCTTCCAAGAGGGGTATCAAAAGTGGTCAGTGGTCGAGATTCTTGCGCTAACTCTTTTCCGTCATATCCTCCCATGATATTGCCCAATCCGTAGCAAGCACGTCCTGCAAAAGCTTCTACAAACTCCTCAGTCGCCGGAGGAAGGCCTGCGTCCTTAATGGTAACTTTATTCATTTCCTGTAAGTCATGAACAATTCGTAGCTTTCCATCGTGTTTTGCTAGGCAGAATACTGGGCTTGAGTAACTTGATGTTGATTTTTTGTAAAGACCCGTCTTAATTCGTTCTCAAACTAGTTCCACATAATCGTTTTTTATTGCTGCTGGAATAGGAATAGGTTTCTTCTGCCAAGGTATGTGATCCACTACTGGTATGACATAGGGTAGTCCATAAGAGTGTTTTAATAGTCCACACTCTTCCATGCAAAATGCTAAGGCCTTTTCCCGTAAAACAATCAGATGTTTGAATAGCTTTAGTTCCTTGTTTGAGAGCCATCCTTCCGGTCCAAAGTTGACTACCTTCAGGCGTTCTTCGGTGATTTTTGCTGTTGGTTGGAAATCTGGCGGGTTAGGCGTAAGTGGGGTTATATACAGATCTCTAGAGAGTGGTGGTCTTTTCAGAGGCGGATTGAGAGCTTGAGGAATGGGTTGATTTATAGGTCGGATCTTCTTCGCCACAGGTTTGTATTTAGTCATACACCACAGGCTTCCCTCCTTCCAGCTCTGGCACAATTTCTGTTGAAAACTTATGCCTAATCCATTTGTGAGTAATGTCCTCACTTCCTCTTTCCTTGGTTCCTCAGCAATTTTGAGTGCATTCGAGGTGATTGTTACTTCATTTTTCGCCCCAATTGACTGTCTGGTGTTCCATCGTTTTCGAATTGTTTTACAAATTTTTGAAAGAAAAAACAACATAAATCGGATATTTTTGAATAGTGAAATTAACTTACAGAGACATTTTTTGTTAGTTTTGGTAATTGTCGTATAAAATTTAAAAGAAGCCAGTCCTGATAAGCTGGTGTTCGAGACGTAACTTGCTCGACTAGCGTTAACGAGTTATTCCCTAGGTGAAAACCGGAACTCAGAAAAAAGGCTGAGCGGTTTTCTTCTTGAACATGCGTTGTTCTTCCGTTCCTGGATTGGATGTGGATCTGAAACTGTGGCTACTGAGGTCTTTGCAATTATTCCACCCTTTCCCCTGCCCGACTTTAGCTAAAGGCACAGAAACCCTCCTTCCCTTGGTTCCTTGGAAAGAAAGTGTTTTGCCAGTCTCGTGATATTCTAGTGTGCATCCGTAGTCAAACAGGAATGGCGGTCCAAGGATGCAATCTTGCGCTTTGGGTGAAACAAACAGATGAGCCGGACCCGAGAATCGTCCAATCCCAACAGGGCAGTTTTCGGCTACGCCATTCAGGTCACATCTTGCTCTGCCTACGCCTTTCATGGGTATGTCTACCTGGACTATTTCTAAATCCAAATCTTTGGCCACGGAGTAAGGAATGACATTCACCATGGATCCAGAATCTATCATGCAATCGATTTTGGCTCCCCCTATTTTGGCGGTCACATATCCCAGGGCGCAGCTATAGTAGCACGGATCGGTAGGTTCATTCTTGTCTGCCTGAGTTGTCATAGCTGCCGCCACTTTATGTTCTTCTGAGGTCATATAGGTGGCACTGCTTTTGCCCGGCAGTCGTTGTTGAAGTTTGGCAATGATCTGCTCCGTGTATAAAGGTGACAGTGTTGTAAGTTGCGCAAATGTCGTAGGGATTTTTAAATGATCTAAATCTTGTAGCAGGGCTGCCTCTGGCAAAACTGAGTTTGACTTGGATTTTGCCTTTTCCTTTCCCCAGAATTTTTCGGTTGGCGTTATTGTGGCTTCTTGGTCTAGATTGGCAATGTCTTCTTCCTGATCAACGTTCATAGGGTTGTCTTTGGGTTCCTGGATTCAAACGGTCCTCCTTCCTTTCTGAGCGTCTGATCGTGTGACTGCATGGTTCTTTAGGAAATTATCTGCCCCAATTTCCGGAGGGTCCCAGTCTATTATTTGCATTGAGGTCTTCATGGTGGAATCCATTCCCGCGGGTACCTGTCCAGCATTCCTTTGCTCCACAATTCGCTTGGCTGCTTCTTGTATGGCTGGATCCGCCAATGCAGTGGCCACTACAGATCGTATTGGTCGGGCCGGGATCCAAGGTATGTGTTGTCCATTTGGTAAGGACCAGTCTTTTCCACTTCGTTTGACCAGTCCTTCATTTTCGTCTTTCATGGCTTCAGGGCATCAAGCCGTGGAATGCCCTTCCCGTTTGCATTAATAGCATACTAGGCTTTCATAGAGTGGAGTCGATGGCCTGGCGTTCCCTCTTGCAAACTCTGACCACTTGGCTGATCCTGGCTGATTATATGCTACTGGCAGCACACTTTTCAATTGTTGTTTTAGTGACGATGTGGAAAGAAAGGCGCGCCCTAGGAGATTTCGTGCACTTCTCCGCTCCGCAACACGTCTTACTCCGGTTTGTTGTCCGAGGTAACTTGCTTGATGGTCTTGTAGGTAGGTAAAAATAACTCTCTTTTATTGTTCTTTTGTAGGTAATACTCTAACTCTAGTCTATCTCTAACAATTCTTTAGGCTAATACACGATTCACTCCTAAGTCACTTTGTTTTTCTGATATGTTCTGAGTCATAAGTCCCCCTCTCTCCCCCCTCTTCTGCCTCGAAGTCCACTCCTCCTCAGTTTCCCACACTCCGGTCCCTTACTATTTCCCGCGCTGTCATCCGCTGCCACCCCCTCGGACTCCGCATGTCACCCCTCCGACGCCTGTCGGTCCAAGTACTCCTCCGGCTGCTCGTAAGCAGGTCTCCCACCTCCGCTTCCGCCTCTGGTCCGCTCCGAACCCCGCTTCCGCCCCTCGATGCTCCCCGCTCCTTGTAGCCCCTCCGCAGTATACACTGAACCCCCGTTCCGCAGTCGGCTGTGATCCCCGGTGTCTGCCGGTGCCCGGATTCCCCGCAGTAAGCTTTTCAGAACCTTGTGCATTCGGTCTACTTTTCTCCGCTTTCCCGCGCCTTGGAAAGCTAGACTTTCCACTAATGCACCGCCGCTTTCCTCAGCCTGCTTGTGTAGCGTCAGCTCTGCGTGCTTTCCGCATCAGCGCCGCGAGCATTCCGCATGCCCCAAACAAACCGGCCAAAGCTTTGGCCAAGGCGCGCTCCCGCCACCACAACGATATTTCCTTGGCCATGTCTTCAATTGTTTTGTCCACTGCCATTTTCCCGCTTGGAGCATCTGCTATCATTTGGTTTCGCCGCTGGCTGTCCCCCTTTTGGGCATCCAATCTCTTCTGCATTAACTGATTTGCTTCTGAAAAATTGGTGTTGGTGACGTCCAGATATCCAGGTTCCACAATTCTGACTTCCATTTCCGCCACTTTGACTAAATGAGCCCATTTAGGAGGTAAATTACTTCCATCCGGTCCTTTGGGAAGTAAGTCATAGCTGACTAGATGCCGTTTTATGTTTTGCTGACTTTCTTTTGAAAATTCTTTCATGAACAGAATTGATGTGTCTTCCTCCTTGTGAATGTGCCCATTGGTGATCAGGTACTTCATAATAGAGGTGTATTTGGTTACATAAGCAGTTAGCTCGCGACTGGTCTTGATGCCTCCTTTTGCGGCTACTTTTTCGGTAACTTTGACTAGATCGTTGGTCGTATATAAAATCGTGTTATCCAAACCGCCCCAGGTGTCGATCATTTCTTTTCGTAACTTGGGCCAATCGTATGCTATATATCCGTCCATGGCTTCTATTTGATCTCTGAGTTCTTCTGTTTTCATGAAGCAGCCTATTTGAAGGGCCTTCTCGTAGTCTGATGCTTGGAATGCCTGTGCCGCTCTTTCAAATCGTCGTAGAAACTTTGAAAAATTTTCCCCGTCATAGAAGAGGCCAGGTTCTTTGATGATTTTAGGTGAAGCAAGGTAAGCTGGTTGTGGATATATGGGCTGTTGAGGTATGTTTTGTTGTGGTACATTTTGTTGCGGTATTTGTTGATTGTTTCGTGAAAAGACATCTTCCCCCTTGTTTTGGGTACTGTGCATTCCATAGCCTGACAGAGGGGGTGCTTGTTGATTGCTGTATTTTTGAGGAGTGATGTTTTCATCGTCAGATAACTCATCATCCGGGTCTCGTAGTTGTGTTGCAGAGGCCTTTCCTTTTCCTTTTGGTGGTGGTCCAATAGGTTCTTGATTCCAGCTAAAACTTGAGGGTCCTGCAAAAGGAGGTCGGTTCTTTAAGGGGGTCAAGGCTGCAAACCCATCCTCCAAATCTGGGGTACTGAAAGGTAAATTCATGTCGATTGTTGTTGAGGGATCCAGTTTGACTCGATAAACTAATTCTCGGGTAACTAACTAACTTTTGCTCTGAAAAAGAAACAAATAATACTATGGTCTCTGGTCTCTTTACCAGGGCAGGTCTTAGTTTTTTTAAAAAAATTCACTTAACAGTACTGGAAATTTCTTCTAACAGGATCTGTCTATCCAAATTCTTTGGGTCTCAATGCCCTTCTTGAGGTTTTATAGACAGCTGCTTCCTTCGAATAGTTCCGGGGTTCTCTTCTAACAGGATCCTAGCTATCCAGATTCTTCGGTCTCTAATGCCTTCTTCTGGTTTTATAACTGGCTGCTTCCTTCGAGATACCCTTTTCAGGTCCGCTAGCGCAACTTTCTTTTTTGGAGGGTTAGTAGTTGTCTTGTTAAATTGTGTTTATGAAGCTGACTAGTCGGTCAACAGAATAACTGAATATGCCGTTGAGTGTCGCAAATATGGTTGATAAATTTGATCCGGTTCCCGCTAAAGTTCGTGATCCTTCGGCGATTCCTTCTTGTTATATGTTGAAATTTGATTACTTAATGTAGATCACACAATTTTATCCTATCACGTTGAAGACTCCCTTGTAAGACTCAAAAATTGGTTGAAAGACCCTTTTTGCTGAATGGAGAAGGGGATGATGGAGTGTAAGCTCTGCCCTTCTATACTATCAGATAACAAGACCCACCAAGCTCAGCTTGGCAAGTTTTAATCAAGTGATAGGGTAAAGTTCAGGAATGAGTTTGTGTGATGAAGAGTTGTTGATTTGGTTTGGTTGGCGCTTTAAAGTGTTTGTGTAAGGGTGGTAAAATATTGCTTGAGTGTTACTTGACTGAGGATTAAACAACTGGGAGGAGAGCCTCCTTATATATACAACAGTGAGGGAATTTAGCTCCAGGGCAGCCAGTAATGAGTGATTTTGGCTGGCCTGGGCTATTACATGAGGTATTTTTAGCTACATACAAAATTTGAATGAGTGAATGTGATTGGTCAGACATGTACAAGAGTTGAAGTGGTGATCCAAGCAGCTGAATGAGTGATTCTGATTGGTCAGGTTCTGATGTGTTTACAAGTGAGTGTGGTGGTGTAAGCTGCAGCTGTCATGCATGGAAAATACACTAATTTAGGCTGCAGGTATGATGTAATATGTAGAAGTGAAATGTAAAGAGTGTAGATGTATGTAAATGAGTGTATATGTAAATGAATGTGTACTGTACTGAGGGTGTCTGTGTAGCTTGAGGTTTGTAATTGGGTTTGGTGATATGTAATGATGGGTGAAATCCTTGTGATATGTTGTCCAGTGTTGGGTAAGAGTTGATCCAGGTGTGTTCCAGTGACGCCTCCGTGATGAACAAGAGTGAATTTGTCCGTAGAGTCCAGTTCTTGAGCCGTATGGTGTGATTTCTGAGAGTGATTGGGTGATAATATGAAGAAAAATTATATATAAGGAAAAAGAAAGAAAAAACTTTTAATTTTCACATTTTTGACTACCACACCGACTAAAAGATAAGGAGGGAGGAAAGTGTCCCTATCTTATATGCTTGAGAATACAAATGAAGATGATGGGTTTTGCTGTGTGTTTGGACGGGGCTCGAGCCAGATGACATCACATGATGTCATAGGTTTGGGCGTGTTTTCAGAGGGTTGTGAGGTTAGAGGGATCGTAAGTTGAGCACGATTGTGTTCAGACTTCAACACACTCTCTCCGTTATCCTCTCTGTTATCTCATTGGTTATATTACATGTGATGATCTGAGTTTTGTATTTCAACGGTTGACTGACCAATTAATAAAGTAATTACAAAAAAAAGAAAACAGTAAAGGTCCGATTAAAATACAATCAGACCCTTATTTCAAAAAATCATATAGCGATAACCAAATTTTTTGGTAAAAAACCGAAAAGACAGAAACATCGATCGGATGCTGCGTA